GCATACATATAACTATATGTTACAACATGAGACTATAGTTATCTACAATTATCTATAGTTATATATAGTGACATAAAATCTAGACTACTATGCATGAATCTAACTTCACAAGGCATTTTACCGCATCTTATTCTCTACATCTCATAAAATTATAATAAAAGCAAAACCTGCGACTATAAAATACGAGTTAAAGAGCATAATGAAACATGCGAGTTAGATTACATGAAAAATGCAAAAAAACATGATTTTTTGTGTTGATAAATTTATAGAGTTGAAATCGACTACAAATGACTAGAGTATACTACAAGTTCTATAGTCATGTATAGTTATATGTAGCCATGACTATACATGACTACATATGATTGTATATGACTACATATAATTGTAAATTGAGCTGACCCAAATCATCCATCTAAAGTAACCACTATTGATTAAGTTTCTACTACAGACAAACAAAGCTCTCACACTTCAGGCATTTCGGATCATCATCAAATAATATAATAAATAAATTAGGGTTTTTGGCACTTTGCACCCTTAAATTACACCCTTTTAGCACTTTGCATCCTTAAATTACAAAATTGGCAGATTGCACCCTTTAAACATAAATTGTTTGGCACTTTGCACCCCAGATCACTTTTGGCTTAGAAAACTTACCTGCAACTTGCTGGGACACCTGAAAGATGGGCAAATTCATAAATTTCTTATTATCTATCCTCTTCCTTCAATTCTTAATCACCGTTCCACAATTTTCTCTTTCGTCCCTTTAATCAAAAAATCCTAAAATATTTTTAGCCATTTCTTTCAATGGTAAATCGGTATAAACACTAAACAATAATACTAAATCATTTTTTTTCTTTTGAGTATGAAAAATAATGTAACTGAAAATTTTAGGCCGAGCCCTCAATTTTTTGTTTTTTTGAATAGTCAAATGACAAAATAAGGCTACTGAGAGGTTTATTTGGTGGTAGAAATGTGGTGCCTATAAGTTTCATGATGGAAGGATGTTTGTGCTTCCATTGAATAGTTTGGATCTACAAAATTATTAAAAAAAATAGCGTTACCATGTAATAAAACTTGATTTTCTGAAGGTGTGTTATCTGACTCTTGTCTATATATTCCGGCCATGCTTGAGTTTTAGTTCATATTTTACATATGGCAAATAGAAATGGCTAAGAAGAATTTATATTTTTTGATTAATAGGACGGAATATAAAAATTGTGGAACGATGATTAAGAACTGCGGGAAGAGGATAGATAATAAGAGAATTGCGAATTTGCCCATCTTTCAGGTTTTCAACAAGTTGCAGGTAATTTTTCTATGCCAAAAGTAATTTGGGGTGCAAAGTGCCAAACAAGTTATGTTTAAAGGGTGCAATCTGCCAATTTTACAATTTAAGGGCGCAAAGTGGCAAAAGGGTGTAATTGAAGGGTGCAAAGTGCCAAAAACCCAAATAAATTACATATGATTTATAACAAAAATGAACAAGATAATAATCAAACAAAATAAAAAATCAAATAAATCCAAAAGAAAAAGATTTTAAAAGATTTTAATATTAATTGTCCACACATCGTCAAAAACATAGTAGATATGGTTTTTTTTTTGATAAATACAGTAAATATATACAAATCAAACACACCGGTTTCACATTTGAAATTCACCATTAGATCTGACTAGACATCGTCGGATCATGATTTGAAATATTCGAATTCAGTTGGTTTTCATAAAAAAAAAAAAAAAAGGTGAAATAGTAACACAAATTCAAAACTTAAAAAAGTAAATTAAAAAATGGATGCGCATTCATAAATTAAAAAAAAAAAAAAAAACTTAAAAAGGTGCAGTAGATGGTTTAATACAGAGTTCAAGGCGGTGGGAGGAGCAACGACGGCCGGCACAAAGCCGTGGTGGAGCAGCGGTGCAAGGCAGTGGCAGAGCAGTGGAGCAAGGCGGTGGTGGAGCAGCTAGCGGCGCAAGGGGGTGGCGGAGCAGCTGAACATCGCGGTGGCGGAGCAGCGGCAGTGAGAGGTGAGAGAGAGAAGAGAACGAGAGTTTTGAGAGAAAAGAAAAAATGACGGTGGAAGAAGGGAGAGAGAAGAGAAAACAACAGTGGGAGGAGGGAGAGAGAAAAGAACGAGTGTTGAAAGAGAGAGTTAGGGTTTCAAATTATAACTAAAAGGGCAAAATAAGTACTTCAATTTGTTAGAAGGGTCTGTCAAATTAAAATTAGAATTTGAGTTTTTGACTAGGGAAGAAAAATCCATAGGACCTATTCCTATATATTTTCAAAACTATGGGTATCCCACATTTCCCCTTATAATATATATCTCTTAATTTATTTTTATGTTTTTAATATGTTTATCGTAAGCTAAGGCCCCTCCCCCACCCAAATGTCTCATGATCAGCCCTGGATAATCCCTTACGATCATTTAGATAGAATGCATCAAATAAAGTTGGATTAACAGGAAAAAATGGACATGTAAACCAAACTGTTTAGAAGTGTTACCCCAGGCAACAAACAGTTGAGTAACTCCACTACATGTAACGAAAAAGCCCCAAGTATATACATAATTTTTCTTTTGTGGTATTTGATTTTTTTAATCATATGTATTTTTGATTTATTATAGTTATTTTTTTACACTAAAATATAAAAAACAACGTAATCTAATATAAAAAAAAGAAAAGAAAATATTGTTACAAAAAACAAATACATAATTTATTTTAATTTCTTTGATTTATTTTTAAACTAACATATAAAAATTGTAGAAAATTACATATAAAATATATAAATAAACCAAATAACAAAATTTTTAAAGCAAAATAATAAGAATAGTATATATATATATATATATAGCACTTCGGGCTTCACAACGTGCAGGGCGAGTCCTGAATTTTGTTACAGAGTAGGTTTCAATTTTCCAAAGTTCGGGACAACACCCCTTAAAGAAATGATTAGGATTTATTTTTGCATAAAGTAGGACAAGAACAAAAAATAGAAAAACAAATTACTTTAGACCTTTTGCATTAATTTGTGTTTTGGTTTTGAGTGGGTTAAATAATGAAGAGTATGTGGATAGTGGACTTAGTGTATTGAAGCACTTACTCCATACTTTCAGTGTGTGGGGTAACATCTCCACTCCGTTGGCTTCACCGTCCGAACTCCGAAGTGTTTCAAACATTGAATTGTGGAAGTGTTATTCCAAGTTGTGAAGCGGTAAGCAATTATTTGGTCGATTTTCGCCAAAAAAATAATAATAATATGTTCTTTTTAGCTTTAATAGTCCATATTGATAATAGGGCTTATGAGATTCTTCACTCGGTGAAATACATCATGTGATTTTAAATCGTAGATCAACATAAATAACTATCCACTAAGTACACATACACATGATTGTGTGCGTGTTATTATGTGTAGATCAATGATATAAAATTACAAGGTGTATTTCACCATGTGTAGGTTCTACAAAACTACGATAGTAGTTGTTTCCTTTACGATTTATTAAAAAAAATCCATAAAAGGTGCAACGTTTCTATTTTTATTTTTATTTTTTAGAGTTAACGCTTCGATTTCACCTGTACGATTAGCTTTCACTTAAATAGGGTTATTCTAAAATGGGGACATCTAAAATAAATACCGTTTCTTTTTCACTTCAATACCACCAACATAACAAATAAAAAATAAATAGGTAATGACATTAATACCCTTAATAAAATCAATGCCACATAAATTTTGGGTACCATTGATTTTCATTAAGGGTAATAAAATCATTACCTATTTATTATCTATTTATTTTTTTATTTTTTACGTTGGCGGTACGGAAGTGAGAAAAAATCAATATTTGTTTTAGCCCCTCCCTTTTGGAATTGGTAGTGCATAGGGGTGGAGATCGGGCGGATCAGATCGGAATCCACCCCTTCGGAAAATTTCCGATTTTTTCGGAAGTGAAAAATCACTTCCGATTCCGATGTCGAAAATTTCGGAATACAAAAGGTCATTCCTATTCTGATTTCGAAAAAAAAATCGGAATTTTGGAATTTTCGGAAACGTCGTTGACTATGCCAGACGATTGAAGCACGGATGAAAAGCAACGGCCACGGCGGATATTTATAGAGAGAATAACAGTAGCTTTTGGCAACAACGCCGGTTGTCTTGAGAGAAAAGGGATTGTAATATTTCGCAGCAATTCCAGCCTCTGTGTCTCGCGAAGGCAACGATTAAAGATCTAGTTAGTTAGGTGTTATGACTCATGTGGTAGAGAAGAAGAGTTGGGGTGGAAAGAAAAAAAAAATTCAGAGGAGATGTGAGCGGCACAAGAAGAACAAGAAAAAATTAGGGTTTTATTAGAAGTTTGTGGTATTTACTGGTTAGTCCCTAAACTTTTGAATATTCAATATTTGGACTCCTCAGTTTGCTAAAGTTGGCTGCCTTGGTAAAGTGGGCTTCTTAAAGCCTCACTGGAAACAATATATAGTAATGATACTAATGATGAAATATTAATCATTTTCGGAAATTTCGGAATTATTTTCGGATTGGAATTCGAAAATTCCAAATAATTCATATACAATTCCGATTTCGATCCGATTTTTTCGGAAAAAATCGGAATTCGGACTACAAAAAATTATTCGAAAATTGAAAAAAATCGGATCGGATTCGGCGGAAATCGGAAATTTCGTTCCGTGCATATATAAATTCAGAAAATAAATCTACTATAAAAAGTTAATAGGTATTTATGGTTGAAAATAAAGCGTATAGTTTGGTGGTCGTGTTTGGTCAAATGGCCTACTAACCAAGAAATGAGTCCCGATATTTGTGGTTTCAACTTTGAACATTCGATCGACCGCCGTCATTCCACATATTCTTGTTTTTCCACCCAAATAAACTAAAGAGAAAAAGTATATCACGTACCCTCATCAAATCCAATAACCTCTTACAATATTAATATTATGCAAAACAAAAACTTTTGTTCGTGATTTCAAATAGTCACATGAATTTGTCGACAACCAATGCACGGCCCGTTTTGTTGGCGTTCACAAGAAATACTCGCTTTTTCTATTTAAAACGACAAAAAAGAGTATCTTTACAGCACCACTAACCTCATCATCGTTCGATTGATTTTTCTCTCTTCTTGAAAGTTGAAAGTTGAAAGTGGGGGTTGGTGTCAAGAGAGAGAGAGAGAGGAGAGAGAGAGAGAGAGGAAAATGGAGAGAGGTGAAGAAGAAGATGCATCCTGTGTGAGCAGGAGGCCACTGATTGAAAACATCACAGATAAAAATAATGATAGCAAAGAGACAATATTAGCGGAACTGAGAAAACAGTTATGGCTGGCAGGGCCATTGATAACGGTGTCTCTATTGCAGTTTTGTTTGCAGCTGATATCAGTTATGTTTGTTGGTCATTTGGGCGAATTGTCTCTCTCTGGTGCTTCTATGGCTACCTCTTTTGCCTCTGTCACCGGTTTTAGCTTGATGGTATGCCTCTCTCTCTATATCTATGCTTCTTTCTATATACATGTTGTGTGTGTGTGTTTGTGCGTGTGTAATTTGGTTAAATCTTGGTAAATCAGAATGGGGGCAACTAAGTGTCTTGTGATATGCATATATGTGTACAAACACTATCTGAATATCATATACATGTAGTGTGTCTGTCTGTTTGTATTTGTGTGTGTGTGTGTGTGTGCGCAATTTTGATGATAAATCAAAAGAGGGCATGAAGGAACATTGTGTGTGTGTGCAGTTCTGTTAAATCTTGAAATGTTGTACATGTAGTGTGTGTGTGTGTGTGTGTGTGTGTGTGTGTGTTTGTGTGCAATTTTATTAAATCTTGATATCATATACATGTAATGTGTTTGTGTTTGTGTTTGTGTGTGTGTGTGTGTATGTACAATTTTGTTAAATATTGTCAAATAATAAGAGGGCACGAAGGAACTAACATTGTGTGTGTGTGTGTGTGTGTGTGTGTGTGAATTTCTTTAAATCTTGATCATGTACATGTAGTGTGTTTGTGTGCAATTTTTTTAAATCTTGTTAAATCAAAAGGGGCCCACAAATGTGCTGTTTTAATTCGAATGCTTTTCAGCTATTAAATGATGTAAAAATAGTATCCTGAATATCATATACATGTGGGGTGTGTGTTTGTGTGTTTGTTTATGTGTTCAATTTTGATCGCGTGAATCAAAAGAGGGTACGAAGGATTGTGTAATATTTCGTTTTAATTTGATTTTTTTCAAAATGTTTCCTTTGCTCTTACGGTGGTATAACTAGATGGGAATGGCAAGTGCACTAGACACATTGTGTGGCCAATCATACGGAGCTAAGCAGTACCACATGCTCGGAATTCACATGCAGAGAGCAATGCTTGTTCTATTACTCGTCTGCATACCCCTTGCTATTGTCTGGGCAAACACCGCTCCCATCCTAACACTATTAGGCCAAGATCCCGATATTTCAAAAGAAGCCGGTCACTATGCTCGATTTATGATTCCTAGTATTTTCGCATACGGGATTCTACAATGCCAAGTCAAGTTCTTGCAAACACAAAACATCGTTTTTCCTATGATGTTAAGTTCTGGCGTCACCACTTTGTTGCACTTGTTTTGGTGTTGGATTCTTGTTTTGAAGTCTGGACTCGGTAGCAGAGGAGCTGCTGTTGCGAATTCTATCTCTTATTGGACGAACGTTTCGTTGTTGTGTCTTTACATCGTGTTTTCTCCTTCTTGTTCGAAAACATGGAACGGGTTCTCACGAGAGGCACTTCGCAATGTCCTTAATTTTATTCGGCTTGCAATCCCTTCAGCCGTCATGGTCTGGTAATAATTCTCTCTCTCTCTCTGTTCTTTTTTTTTCTTTATCTTTTTTTTTTTTTTTTTTTTTTTTTTTTTTTTTGTGGGGTTGTAAATTGGCGGGTTTTATTGCGGTATAATAAGGATTAATTTGTACAATTTGAACCAGCTTGGAAGCGTGGTCTTTTGAAATGATGGTTCTACTATCGGGTCTTCTTCCGAATCCTCAGTTAGAAACATCTGTTCTCTCTATCTGGTCAGACTTATGGTTTTCTATTATTTTCCTTGTCAATTTAATCTTGTTATTCATTTATTTGATTTGAGATTTTCTTTTTAATCTTCAGCCTTAATACAGCTGCAACAGTGTGGATGATACCATTCGGGCTCAGTTGTGCTGTGAGGTCAGCTTCGCTATATAACTTCTTATGTATTAATATATACATATGCGTATATATACACACATACATATACATACACGTAATTCTTGCTTCAAGATGCTTATCAAAAAAAGAATATTCTTGCTTCGAGATCATACCATATAACGTAAGATAAATCTCCAAGTATAAAATCCCAAAGCTATCTCGTCTTTCAGCAATATAGTTGTCAATGCTCTCTCTCTCTCTCTCTCTCTCTCTCTCTCTCTCTCTCTCTCTCTCTTGGGGTTAATGAATGTAATTTTTGTCAATGTTGTAGCACACGAGTGTCGAACGAGCTAGGGGCAGGGCATCCTCGAGCAGCACGATTAGCAGTGGGTGTGGTAATGTTCATGGCAATAAGCGAGGGAATTTTAGTAGGGGCATTTATGTTAATAATAAAGAATATATGGGGATATGCTTACAGTAACGAGATCGAAGTTGTCAAATACGTAGCAACAATGATGCCCATTCTAGCTGCATCCAACTTCATCGATGGCCTTCAGTGTGTTCTTTCAGGTACATACATAAATACTCCGAATTTAATGTAATCAGGATTTTAAATATAATTTAAATATATATATTAATATAATTTGTGCAGGAACTGTTAGAGGATGTGGGTGGCAGAAGATTGGAGCGATTATCAATCTTGGATCGTATTATCTCGTGGGCCTCCCAGTGGCTATCTTGTTAGCTTTTGTTCTGCACATAGGCGGAAAGGTACACAAAATTTTCAATATATCGTCACATTAATCCATCTAAATACTTAGCTCGTATCCGGCCGTCGGAATGCAATTTTATTTTATTTAAATATATGATAGTAAATATGAATATTTGTTGTAGGGTCTCTGGTTGGGGCTTCTGTGTGCGCTATCGGTTCAAGTTGTCTGCCTTTTTGTGATCATGTTACGAACTAACTGGGAACAGGAAGTAAGTGTTTCTATCTTAATCTATGTGATTTCAAAGTTGTTCGATAATTTTGAAGTGTTGATTATATTATTTTATTTTTGGGAATTTAGGCAAAGAAGGCCAAGGAGAGAGTCTACGAATCAACCATTCCTGTGGAGATATTATCGTGAGTACTATAGTCCGTAATTTAGTAGCCGAAGAGGCCACGAGACAACTGGATTTGCCAGATTTTGAAGACATGTTTGTTTAGGTCATTTGCTTCAACTTTAGAACAAATTGATGATCTAAGCTCATTTTTAGGTCATTTATCCAATTTTGGGTTGGAAGATTCAAATAATATTTACAGCAAAAAACTGAAAATTAAATCAAATAATATTACTAAGCATCAACACAAGCAATAGTTAAATATCAACCTCTAATTATGTGACATGCATTTGCAATGAAAAGAACCATGTTGTCCATTGTGTACCCAAAAGTAAACATAAATGGGAGCGATAAATACTTTCGAGAATTTTTTTGCAGATAAATCCATTCCCAACTAAATAAACATATGTTTTCAGATTTTAAAAACAAAACATTAAAATGGTCAGACTGCAGGCAACAACTTGATTCAACCGGAAAATATTCCTCCACCAAACTAATATGCAGTGACGCCTCTCTGCCACCGAATACCAACCACAACCACAGCCGGGCGGAATGTTTGTATAGTCGCTATTTGAAGCTCAATAGAACCACAAGAAAAAAAATAAAAATAAAAAATCGACCCTTTATAATATCACCAATCACACAAAATATTTTTGATGGAATCATTAACTTGTTGGTGACTAAATGTTTTTTTGCATTAACAGAAATTAGTTTACTTAAATAGTTATTCAAATAAAATTAGCTTTTATGTCAACAAAATAAATAATTCTAATTTTAAAATAACTAGTATTATTAACAAGTTAATTGTTGAACCAAAAACTTGCAAAAAATACTATTTGAAGAAAATATTTTCAGAGAGAGAAAATTAAGAGATTTAAAAAGAATCGAGAAAATATTAAAACTAAAAAATTCACTCAAGTTATTGGAATAGAGATTTTTTAAGAATAAATAAAAACTTTAAGCCCTAGAAATCGGATTCTATGGATTTTTTTTTCTGAGCTAAGCAGCTTGGACGCCCAAAATAGGCGTGTAAAATTCATTTTCACGGCCAAATGAATTTTACACGCCTATTTTGGGTGTGAGTTTGGTGAGTGGATCGTGGATGTAGACATCCAATTCAGGTGTGGACCAGGTGTTTACAGGCCCGATTTGGGCATGTAAAAACACCTGGTCCACGCCTTAACCACCGGTTTGGCAGCATCTTTTTTTTCTTCTTAAATAAAGTAGTTTATATCAATAACTCGTTTTTTTCATGAATTACTTAATTAATTTGTATGTTTTGATTTTTGTAGATGTCGACAAGTTTTGGCGCCAGAAAAGGGAAGGGTACCATGACTCGTGTCATTCGATCAGATGGATTTGCTAGACACGAAGGATTGGCAGTTGAGACTACTGCACAACGAGTAGGACACATAAGCGTAGAGTTACTGGATCTACACACGATGCAGCGCAATACGCTACCGGTGGAGACGAACGCACGGGCGGATGCGACGCATGATGAGGATGATGACGTACATGTAGGTTTTCAGTCTCAGTACATTTACCCGGAGCCTGATTTTAGATTAGATGGAGATGACGGTGGCGATGATGATGGCAATTCTACACCCCCGGCTGCTTTGACCGGTGCTTCTATTTTGTTCGATGTTTCTACTTCGTTCGGTACTCATGCTCGGGGTAGTACTTCCCGCCACGCTGCTACTTCTAGCCAAGATGGCACTCGTCCATGAAAGTTGACTGGTCCGGCAACCTGGTGGATGTACTGGGTTAGAATTGATATCGAGTTTTTGGATCGCACATCACCTATGACATATGGGAGGGAAAGGTAATATGTAATAATTTAATTCCCTTTGTTTTAAAATGCGTACATCAGATTGTTGTTTACTTAAAATTGGTTATATCTTGTGCATGTGCGATATATGGTGAAATTGCAGTCCCTTAACATAAATAACAAACAATCACATTTCTCTCTTGTTCTCTCTCTCTCTCTCTCTCTCTCTCTCTCTCTCTCTCTCTCTCTCTCTCTCTCTCTCTCTCTCTCTCTCTCTCTCTCTCTCTCTCTCTCTCTCTCTCTCTCTCTCTCTCTCTCGTTTTGCTTCCGCCCCAACCACTGGTCTAATCTCGTTTTCTTTCATTTTCTATTTCTTTAGCAGATCTAAGTTTTTCAAGTTTTAAGACGGAGAACGAATGATCTAAAACTGTCGCGAGGGGCTCATCCAAAAGTGCTTGCACGGCAGTGCTGCTGACTTGACCCGCCTTGGGTAGGGGAAGTGGCGATTGCATCAACGTTTTTTTGTGTGGTGTTAGGGTTCGTCGAGGAAATGTTGGCGAAGTATTTCGACGACGGCGGTCTAGTTATTTCATGTTTTTGGCAGCAGCTAGAGCTGGTTGAGGCAGATTCATGGTATGTTGGGCTTAGTTGCCTTCGCGGCGAGGACGACTCAATGGTGACTAAGTCGCGATCGGTCAAAGACAACTAAGCCCAACATACCATGAACAAACAAGAGCGCAAGAAATATCATAGGCTAGAAAGAGAGGCAATGAACTGGCGCATTCTTACTCATAAAGAATATTACATATTAACCGAGTCTGATATAAGTGGCACCCTGACGTCGCTGAGTGAGGCTTACACCATACACTTTAATTTTTTTATAATTGGAGCTCATACATTGGTGATAGCAAGTTCGACGCCGCCTAGGTGTTGACTTCATTGGTCGACAATTATTTATTTACCTCAAAAGTGTTGTATTGTTGGAAGAGATTCAATTTTCTATACTACTAATAAAAGTGGGAATGTTAGGGGAGGTTTCTTCCCTTTTTTGTGAGGACGAAAATGCCCCCATCAAAATTAAAATAATTAATATTAATTTATAATTAGTCGTTTAATGTATGTTTATAAAAATAATTGATATTTGTTAGACTTTAATGTACAAAGGCACTCGAAAAAAGGAACTCATGTATCTATTAAATGTTAGTCATACAAGAAATTCAAAGAAACTCAATGGTCTCGATAATTCAATATGGATTTCAATTTTGCATCAGTTACACCAAAGAAAGAAAAGAAAATGATCGTAACTTTCATTTTCAAGTTCTCTTTCATCTTTTCTTTCTCTTCTCGATTTCTTTTTCGTCGATCTTCTTCTTTTTCTTCTTTTTTTTTTGTTTTCAGTTCTATGTTTAATAGTTTGAATATTTTCTCAACTACGTCCCTCATTTTTCCTTCTCGATCTTCCATCCATCTTTGAACCCTAAATTTTGAGAAATTGATAAAGTTTTCTAGATTAATGAAGGAATAAATCCTCCATATCAAGACCGGATTGAGCATCTGTTAATAAAGTTCGTAAGTTATTTTGCATATTTTTCCCACTTATGTGTACTAAGTTAGTTTTTTTATTCATTTGGATTATTAATTAACCTAATGAAACATGTATGTGTTATATCTATCATTGACTTTGAATCTTTCTGATCAGATCTTACATGTTAAAATTATTTCTACTCAGGTAATTCAAAATACGTGTCAGTTTCATAAAATCAATGGTCAATGCATGGGGATTATTTATTTAACTTTTATCTACTAAATTTACTTGATTTACTTGCAATTACATTTTATTTTTCCGTTCAATTCTTTATTTATGTATTGGCAGGTAAGATTCATTGTAATGTAGTTTGTGACTAAGAATATTATGCGTGAAGTTTGTAAGGACTTTCGATTTCAATTGGCTTCTTCTTGTCATCAAAGTTGTTAGTCTTTCTCCTACAAGACTTAGCTATAAAGTTTCTGGAAACCATAATTTAATTTTAGTTTTCGTGGCTTTTGGTATTCCACATTTCATTCATGAAACTAGGAAATTAAACTGCCATGTTATTAATCTTTGTTAATGTTATAATTGTGAGTGGATAAATAGGAAATAATCTGTTAAATGATCTTTATATTGCTATCGGTAGTTTTGCATTAGATGGTTATATTGGCTTGTCATGTTTTAGTTACTCCGAGACTTCACTTTAGGTGACTTCACTACATCTATTGGTTAGTGATATAAATTTTAGGGGAAATTTCACTTTCCCCCTTGTACTTTGGTTCGGTATCACTTTACCCCCTTCTACTCTCGATTGCATCGATTTGGCCCCTATACTTGAAAAAGTGTCTCTCGATGTTAGTTGTCAGACATTTGACATTAACACCGTTTGATCTAAGCTATGAAATTAAAAAATCGTCAACCCCCCCCCCCCCCCCCCCGCCCATTTAAATAATTATTAAGAAAAACGAAAAAACAAAAAATAAAATAATAAAAATTCAAGACAACGAGAAAATATAGTCCACGACACCTGTCACATTTTTTTTTAATAATTACTTAAACTAGGAGGGGTGGTTTTTTTTTTATTTTCAGGCTTAGATCAAATGGTGTAAGGTCAAAGGTCTGAAAACTAACGGCGAGGGCCACATTAAGACAATTTTTCAAGTACCGAAGGGCAAATCGATGGAATTGAGAGCATAAGGGGTAACGTCATATTCAACCAAAGTATAAGGGGGTAAAGTAAAATTTACCCTAAATTTTATGCACTTGACTGATGGTTTTATGTTGTCTAATGGTAGAGAAATATAACTTGTAATTAAAAGTTATTTCTCATGTAATTTATTTCTATAAACTTGTTTCCTTGATTTTTATTTTGATGGCGAAAATTTTAATGACCCTTGTTCTTTTTATCTTCTATATTATTTGAATTTTTAATGATTTTATTTGTTCATGAACTTCTTATATTTTTCAATTCATATTTTTTCCCTCTAAATGTTAGGGTCTAGTGGCTATAGATAGTTTCCTTTTTAAGTTAATAAGTTTTGTGTTTACTCCAAATTAAAATCATGGGCTAAGCTTTAGACTCTGGTTGAATCATCCATCTCCTTCATGCAGGCAATGCCTCACACCTTATGTAAAACACTTGTAATCGCTGTCATGTTCTCATAATCTTTTTTTAAAGTTATTAGACATTAAATTCCTTTAACACAACTCTGAACTTGGCAAGCATGCTACTTTCTATAATTTCTTCGATCTTGTTCCTATTACCATTTAGGTGAGTTTCAGGGAGATATTATTATAGAAAATCTACGAGCCTTTCAAGGAGATACTGGAGTGAATTATGCCAGTATACTGTATATGCTTTATCACTGAACTATTATTATTGGAGATATTAGTATTAAATGATACACTTCACTAATAACTTAAGCTTTTGGTTGAGGTAGTC